TTACCAAAGTATCAGTTGGCGTTTACACACGGAAAATGTTTACCTAGGTAAGTAAACTCTGATACCTCGGTAAACCGTTCAAGTCTAAACACAGCATTATTGGGGCGAGTTAGCGTTACAACCTTGCGACCGCCATGTTAGACCACCATGTTAGACGGTGGGGGATGGGGGAGGGGGAAAATGCCCACCCCCTTTCTTCCTCTTGCCTATCATTCACCCTCTTGGTAATACTTTCTTTCTCTCTCCAGTCTTCCACTACATGAAAAATTCAAGATGGCGGCTAAACTTTTTACGATGTGAGCGCTCGCTCGAAAAAATCTCGCCTGCTCTGCAGGCTAACAGAGCTCAAAACTCAAGCTTTCCCAGCCAGTCCGGTTGAGGCAGAAACAAACACATCTCTTCCAGACAGATACGCTTCCACTGTTTTGTGCTGGCACGCAGTATAGGCTAACATAGAAAATCCTATGCCCTTTAAATTGAAGGTATAACGCCCGGTAAAACGGTGCGTTGGTGGAAAGAGGGCGTTAAATGCTTTCGAAATGTTTTCGTTGCGCTTAATAACTTGTGTTTGACAGTTCTGTCCCCAAGGGATACTCTTTGCAACTCTGATTGGTCGAAGCACAGCGACCCCGCCTTTTTGACAAGACACACGCCCATCAAGTATGAAAGGTTCTTCGTTCGGTGGATCATGAATAAACACGACGAAGGAAATCTACACACGTTCGCCGTCTAATTTAGCCGGAAATATCGTGAAATTAAGACTCCCCTGCTCCTTGTACCAAGCGTCCGGCTTCGTAGCCCTCGTTTCGTCAATCTTGCAAGAAGGAGGGAAGACTCGAGATACGAAAATGTAGGCGGGTGCGGAGGACGCCGACGAATGCTCTCGTGTAGAATCTTCTAGGAGTCTACTAGAATGGCTAAGTTGACGGTACCTCTCTCAGACGGCATTTAAATTCTGCGTCACAGTGGCCTTGAAGTAGAGTCCTAGCGAGTTTCAACTATACGTCCAGTTTACTGATTTAACAATATTTTCAATCTGCTAATAAATGAGACGGATTTCCACCGCCTGTTAATACTGAGAGAGATGAAGCTGCATTGCCTGTTTTGCCGTCCTAAACAATAACGGTTGCAGTTCTTACGCCCTTTTTGGGATATTCACGCTCTATATAGCTGTTTATAATCGGCCCGACAAATATCGGTTTTGCCCAAAAGATGAAAGAGGTTTCATCAGCGCCGTCATAATATTAGACTGACCGTCCACACATAGCAAGTATATCATAATCGAATCGAGTAGTGTGGAAAACAAATTATCCGAAAACGAAAACCTACCGTCGAAGCACTAAAAACACAAAACCTCTAAAGACATTAAGGTAATCAACCAGCTACTGCTGCAAGCAATTCTCTATCTCGAGTTCTCTATACAATAACACATCAAATTAAAAGCGAGCGCGTGAGTGTAAATTTCGATATTCGATCAATCAGCACCAATAAAATACTCCAAACTCTCTTAGGGAGCGTCTCGGCTCTTCTTTGCCTTTCTTATTACTCGACTTATCTAGTTAAACGAAATGATTCAGTTCGCAGGCTAGAGTTCCTGTTTCTGGCCCTCAGCCAAAAATTATGCTAGCAACCCAAGAAAGGCTTTTGTTCACGGCTGTGGTTATACCGTTCACACTCCCAAACGATATCGCACTTGTCATAACCTATTTGAAACCAGCAAGGCTCTAAATGCATCCCCTTGAAGTCGTATCTACCTATTAATGCAGAAGCTTAAATGTAGCACATAAATTAAAGAGACAACGCCATCGAGAGTTTGCATCCGAGCAATTTTAGGGAGTGGCGTTCTTAAATTCTAGAGTTCAATGGCGGCGCCAGAACGAAGGTTATGTGCACTTACCGGCTGGGAGAGAAAGGAACAGCACACAAGCACCAACTAGCCACAGTTTCATCTTGGTGAGATGTGTATTTACACAGATTCAGAGAGTCAACAGTAAACCAAGGGCAACAAACCGACAGAGCAATAACCTCAGTCCCCAATAGTTTAGTACCAGTTGGTGGCGTGATCTGAAGGTAAAACATATCATCCATTAACGTCATACTTGTCAATTCAACAACCAATCAGGAAAGACAAAGGATTGCCGCGGCTGACAAAGCTCAGTTTCTGTTTTTGCAAGTAAAAGTTAAGAAGCTTTTAAGCAGTAATAAGCTAATAAGCGGTACAAATTGTACTGAGCAAACAGTGCCAGAACGAGGGGTGCTTTTTCCCATTTTGTTTTTTAAGTTCATCAATAATTCTGCAGTGTAACCCCGCCTTACGGTCACCTCTAGACCTTGATACTGTCATCTCGTTATTACTTATCAGCCCTTGTCGCGAAATGGGAGGCCAAAGGGTCTTCTCTCTCGATTCTCTCATTATTACGGCCGCATATTTTTTTGTCCCGTCGAAACGCCCACACATAGTCCCCATTAATAGGACCAACGGCCAAACTCTGAAATCCCAACCTGTATAATGACGTCCTTAATCACCGGTAGGTCAAGCCCGCAAAATGAGCGTCCGTTTTAGTGCATCCCGGATACATGCACAAGAACTGAGGTTTCGCACCAGTCGACATAACGATTTGTATGGGAAAAATGGTTCTATTCTAAGCCTAAAAAATACGAAGAAGTATGAATAAAAATAGACCTTAGCTAGCTTCAAGTGTGTGTTTTCCTGTATCTCGTGAGTCACTATCACGCATTGTGCATGCATGTGACGACATTGACCAATCTGCAAACATTTGGATTTGAGTTTCATTCGAGGTCATGTGCATTTAGTGGGCAATTGACCTTCATGCTGGTTGTTTTGCTTCTACATCGAGTTAACGAGACCCAACCGGATCGAAACAACTAATTAGAAGGCAGGTTTAAAATTAAAAACAAGGCGATGATTTAAGAGTCAGGACTTAAATGGGGTATCGATTTCTGGTCAGGTCCTGAACAGGGTAGGAAAAATTGCAGATTCTGGTCTTAAAAAGGTTAAAAGTTTTGGGAGGCGGGCCCCACACCCCCACTCAATTTCTTTGTATGAAACACTATGGCACAATGTACTGACAGGGCTCATCCATACGATAAGGTAGTCAAGATAAATAAAAACGAATGTTTAACATTCTTTACATACCTTGCGTTTTTAAATCCGCCAGTTTTACGTGACGGTCGCACGCCATCCATAACGTAGAATTTCGGCGGTAATAGCTGGTTTTCACGTGACGTCACTAAAACTCAAACTACAAAACTATTGATCTTCCTGAGATTTTACTTAAATAATGTATAAGAGCAGCTGAAAACTAATATTCATTCAAATTTTCACTCCGAATGGGTTCTTGGTTTTGTGATGCACTACGCTTGAATAGGGGGGCGTAAGGGTTTGCGGTGATGCGGTCTTGCGTTATTTTTGGTGCAGTTTTGCGGAGATCTTTATTTTAACCTGAGGTATTGCGGTTTAATAACACTAAGCGGTTTGCAGTTTTCATAAATTTTCGATCGCGGTAATCGGTAAAAAAGAGTCTGCAGCAGTCTGCGCTTTCCAGTTATGACAGTTATTACTCGGATCCTGACGCTTTGATGACTTTTGATCTCTTGTTTAAGTTTTGCAAGGGACCATTGTTGTGCAAGCAAGCTTCGCTGTTTGTAAATTTCTGCTTTTTCCAGTCAATAATTGGTATGATTAACCATTTTATCCAATGCCGGATACGTCGACCGGGAGCCATAATAGGGGACGGAGACCGTAAGCGGGCGCCATTTCTAGTATTGGGGCTGTACCTATGATATGGGACAATTTTTCTATTTTTAGAACAAATTGCGCCATCACCTACGGCACACGCGCGTACATTCTGCGAGGATTTTTGCGGATGTAGCGCGAGAAAATGGCGTCCGAAATTCCCGAAATGTTTGGTGTTTTTGGCCCACAAATCAATACGTTCGTGTCTGTTGGAAGTTTACTTCAGTATATTCGTCGTAAGCTGCTCGAGTTTGCGTGAAGTTAGACAGTATCGAATTTAGTTATGTCCCGCTTTATATCACTGACCAAGTTGTGTCCCGCTGCTTCTTTTTCAAGAGTCACACATTACTCCACTCTAAGTTTCACATATGTTGAAGATTAACAGCTTTTCCATAACACAGTAAAAATACTAGTTGGATACATGATTTGGATATAGCAGCGTTTCAGGACTTCAAAGTTTCCCTCCTCTTGCCACACACTTGCCAGGATTTAGCCAGAGTCTATCTCGACCGAAAAGTAAAAATAAATTAATTGAGTTTCGCCTGAATTGTAAGCAACGCTTGATGTTTTATCAAGGCCCATTAGGTGACAGTAAAGTTTATGTCTATAGATGCTGCTCAGTTTTGTTTGTGTAAAAATCCAATAAATTGTCTGTTGTCGATGAATAAGAGCGCCCGCCGATGCGTGATTTGTACAAGTAAAACGCGACAAATTTTACATCGAACTCATATTATACCTCTAATTTTCAAATATGTTTAAGGTTGGTAAATGTTTGAGAACATATTAAAAGCTTAGCTGAAAATATGTGAATACAGCAGAAATAATCAGCAAAGTTACGTTGACGCTTTCTTAAATCAACTCGAATAACGATTTCGATTTTGTTGGATGAGTTGTCAAAACTCCTTGTCTATTTTATTTTCGTAGTGTAAAATTCCACTATGTTAAAGAATCACACATGATGTTAGTAGCCTTTTGGTGTTGGTGAAAATTGTTGCAGCATCTCAGTACAAAAGACAGTGAAAGAAATCTTTGTCAAGATTTGTTGACAATTGAAAACACCGACTCCCACTTGAACGCGCTGCACTACGCAAATGAGCTACTTGTACGCGTCAGACTTTCCTTTCAAAAACTTTTGCAAACTCGCCAAACAAACAGAAACGAAACGAAACTGTCAAAAACAGGGTTTGGTTATGATTAAGATTGTTTAGGAGACTCACAAATTAACTTGATACCTGAGTAAAGAGTTTTCTTACATAAGTTTTCTTTACAAAACAAACGCAAAATCTTACTAGTACAGCTAGCGCGAGCAAATATTATTCATTCACGGCGCGAAATTGAAGTCTTGTTCTCGACCCCGGAAAAACTCACCTTTTCCATTAGCTCAGAGCATAAACCAACATATAAGAGCCCTGGTTCTTATTCCCTGCCTTATTCCCTGCCATCGCTGTGAAAAATCTGCAAGAGAATCTCGGCACTCTCACCATTTGATCAGGCAACGTGACAACATCCACGCGAGAGCCCCCGACATGTGCGTGGATCCGCGTGGATGTATGACGTCAGGATGGCGCAATTTGTTCTAAAATAGAAAAATTGTCCCATATCATAGGTGCGCGTGGATCCCAAGACTTACGGTCTCCGTCCCCAATTAAAAAAGTGATGGTTAAAAAAGTGACTTATTTCGGGGAATTTGGCTATCTGAACAGTTCACGTCTTAGAAAAAATATTATTTTAATGGTTTAGAGTTCCTCGAGGGATAAAAACAGTTTTGTTGCTGTAAAATTTTGTTTTCTTCAAAATGAGTGATGGAAGTGAACATTCTGAGAGAGAATTTTACTATCCAGGCGAACTGTCCGTTGCAGAACTACTTTAGTCGCCAACTCAGTCCGAAAGCACAGAAAGAAAATCAACACTACTCACAAATGAAGAAGTTCACAACTTTCTCAGAAGCCAACAACAAGCAAACAGGCGGTCAAGGAAACAACTTATCCTGATGAACTGTCCGATAATTAATTTTTGGCGAAAATTCTTTCAGTGGGAAGCATCAAAGAATTCATCGTGGGTCAAAAGCGAGAAAACAACGTGAACAAAACAAACTAAGTACGATATAAGCTTGAACGTGTTCCTCAGTTTTTTTCGAGTTTTCAGAGTTTCTAGGAGAAGTTGGTTAAACCAGAGAAATCACAAACGTACCTTGTTTACAGTAGGATAAATTGTTCTGCAGTTTCTACATCACTGTTGTTTGAAGAGATGAAACTGAGTACGAACAAAATTCCATTACCGTACAGTTCATCCAGACAATAACTTCGGCTCGCCTAAATTTCCACTACAGAGCAAAGCCAGCAAAGTCAACAAACCCAGGCACTGTTTGCGGGAGTCAACATCGGTGTCATTGATATTCAGTTGCTGGTTCTCCCTTGTTCAAGAGAATCCAAGTGGTCGACAAATAGCTTGAAACGACGCCGACATTTTATTGTGTCGAAAGTGAAGTGTGAAGCGAACTTTTGTCACTCGCTAATGGTTTTGACATATTTTTGACAGCTTTATATGTCAACTTTCTGTTGGCTTTTTTATACAGGTTAGTCAATCCCGTTAGCATGAATTGTAGTTGTGGACTTACATTGAAAAACAAAAATGAGAAAGAGAGTCGTGTTTTTCGATGAATTATGAGTTTCTTATTCGACGCGAAGAAATAAATGACAAGTTGTTATTGTAGAATCTTTTTAGTAGTTGTTCCGCGCGCGGCCGTTTGATTTTATGTAATCGCGTCCTATTTGTATAGGTAATCATACGGTTTCGAGTTCAATTTGGAATTAATTTGCACGAGTAAGTTTTTCAAAAAGCTGAAATTGCACGAGTTGTTTCGGCGAGTGTAATATTAATAATATAAACATGAAAAAATTCGCGCGGAGGAAGTGCCAGAAGATCTTTCTTGAAACCATTTTTTTCATTTGAGATAACTTTTCTCAAAATTTCAGCGCAAAATTTTCGTCATCATTTTACGTGATATCATTTTCTTAGAAAAGTTCCTACTGTCTTTCAGTCAATCATAATCCAGAATTTCGATGTGGAATTTGCACTGGTGTTACACTTTTTGCACTGATGTTATACTTGAACTGCACTGCTCTTAGCCAATCCGAATCGGGTAATTTTTTCATGTGTATTATTAAGGTTCGAACAGAATTTTCAAAATTTCAACACTAATTTGTCATATGATAAAACGCTTATTGACTGAGTTAGGTCGGGCCGGACTGGAAAATATTTGGCTCTCGGTCAGTCAATAAGTACATATTAAACTACTAGTAG